ACTGCTACTGACCACCTTGATTGACATGCTAGCATGGTGATCCGATAGATCACCCCTTCGTGAACGATTATCGTGGGACTTGTTATCAAAGGATATCTACCTTTATCAAACACTACAATTACCATGGTCCACAAACTACACGAGACATGTAATTGGAACTTGGCACGAAGTCCTGATTAGACCACGTTTACACATGTGATGAAGCTGTGATGGTTGTTGCTTTCTTTTGCTCACCTCGACCTTTTTTAACCGGAATTTGGCATGTAACGAACCAAACACGTCATATGTTTTGTCAGGCATACAGAGTAACTGTTAAAACCTTATATGGTATGTAAGATTGATACATGTACACACGTATAGATGTACTGAGGATATGTTCAATACGATGTTATGACAAATACCTGAACAGATATAAACTATTATTTTAATGAAAAAAAACAGAGAGACAGATATTTATCTAGATAAAATACTAAAGAAGAAAAAAACAACAACCCAAAGACAGAAAAACAAAGAAAAACAAAAAAAGACCAACAGCACCAAAGGGGATAAAAATGTGCTTGAAATAGTTCGTAAATGCAGAAACATTTTGATTTATGTCACAGATGACCTACTTTCAAAATGACGCTTCAGTTGCATTCTGTTGATGTTGTAATTTGTGTACTAAAGGAAATCGTAAAGGATATGTTTTTTTCTGAAAATTTTACATATGAGGTTCCAAAACTGGTTGTTACGTTTCTGCAAAAACGATAATGAAAGGGGAGATAATTTAACTGTGGTCATCTATCTCATGAGTGTTAAGGAGCAGACCTGATGTTTCTGTCAGCAGGGAAGTAATTCAGGCATGGCTCAGGGAATCGCCTACGTCTAGTGTGATGTATTCTGATCGTGTTAAACCGACACGATACTCATCTATAACACAGGAACACAGTTCAATTTGGTATTGGAGATTTTTCAAAGGATTAGAGATTTTTTCCTCATCATTGTGTCATGAGAATGGAACTAAAACCCGATTAAAATGATATTTTAGAGTTAATGGGAAGTGCCGCATGCTTTTGCTTTCATAACGAATTCGGCTAGAACTTCCCTCGAGGGAGGGATGCAATTGGCAAAACATTAATTTGAACCGTATAACAAATATGTTTCTAACACCGTGGCGTTACCACATACCATTTCAATCGAGGAAAACCCATTTATTTGTGTGGGTGTTAAGCTTGCTCATGGATATCATGCAGTGTATTTGCAAGACGTCAGACAAAGGAACTATAGTCTGGACACATATACCACATAGCAATCTAATGACGGACAATTAACACCGATAACACTGTAAACCATATAATCACAAGATTAAAAATAGAGAGAAAAATCACGCAAAGAATCAGTCACTTTATCAACTCCCAATAAAGTAAGTAATATTATTATATTATTTTGTACAAATTATATAAACCATACATAAACACGTATATTGACATCAACCTAAACATAAACAAAAGAACAATAGCATGTATACAAAATACTAATATATTTTGAACTATTACTTTACATAGACAAATACAACTGAAGTATCGTAAATAAACGAAATACTTTTTTTTTTTTATATCATAAGACAATTAAAAAAACAACATAACACAAATATTATCATTACAATATCCAGCAGTTTCATACAGGGACAAAACATATCTATTGTATAACTAACGAATCAATATTATATACAGAGAGAATACAAAAAAAAATCCATACAAGATCTAGTACTTTCATACAAGGACCAAACATACATAAATGTAGTGCGCAACACGCAAATCGTTATAATATACAGACATAACGCAAATATTCTCCATATAATGTTCAGTAGCTTCATACAAGGACACAGCATATATATTGTACAACTTAAAAAAAACAATATTTAAAACAGACAGAACAAAAATAGTATCCATACATTATCTAGTGGTTTTACAAAAAGACAAAAACATGTCAATATCATATTTAGACAAAATCATAATACAATAATGAAAAAATCATTATACCACCTCTAGGCAAATAGAAATTATAATATTTACAAAACCCAGAAATATCATAGATAACGAGAGTCAATAGACAATACGTACATGTGTGTATGACATGTTTTAGTTAAGTACAGATTAACTGGTCTTAAGTATGACAAATCTCAATGAAATGACTGAATGCTATATATTTCAAATAGGACACGCTTACTTATCATTCTTTTATTTCAGGCTTTTCTCACGTCAATCCATCTGTAATGTATATGAAATCGTTATTGTGTCGGTTTTACACGCGTTTGACAGAAAATAACTTGGACTGATACACTTATTGGTATCGGAAATTGGTCATATCCGAAGCATCTCTTTGTTTCTTATACTGTACTTGTAATTATTGGCATTGGTCATGTCCGAAATAACGCTGGCTTAACTGGCAACATAACGGAATAGGAGAAAGTATTGATATTACTAAACAAGTCTCTCCTAAAAAAATCCTGTTCTTCGTAAATCATACATCTGAAATGACTGTACATTAATCTGGCATCAATCACTGCCAATAAGACCAGCGCAATAAAAGCGGCCAATATGGCGCTAAATCAGTGACACAATTAGATCATGTGAGCTGCAATAATTGGCTGTATGGACTGAAGAGTTGATCAGTACACTTCCTTAACGCGCTCTTCCAACGGCTCATATAATGCATAGTAGCAAGGCTGAGCATTTGAAAGCTTTGTTAGTTTCGTCAGACATGGTTTCATAATGGAATATGGATAAAGTTTTATATTTCAAGGAATAAGTTTGTATTTCAGTGATACTGATTTACCTAAAAAAACGAGATATGTTGTTCTATCAGACCAAGACGTGTAACTGTGACAACTGGTTCTAGTATAGTAAGCTTGTTAAAACCGGACCTTCTGTTGAGACTGTGCAACCAAGCGGAACTAGTCTTGAAAATGTGTAAGCAACCGAAATTAGCGTTGTAACCGTGTAAACAACACGTTTTTCTGTTATACCGTTGTAGAGTTGTGTAACTGTGTTAAAAACGCACCGAACGTTGTAGTTGTACATATGTATATGGACAACCGGACCTAGCGTTGATGTGTATATGTGTTGACAACAGGACATAGCGTTGATTTGTATATGTGTTTGACAACAGGACATAGCGTTGATGTGTATGTGTTGACAAAAGGATATAGCGTTGATGTGTATATGTGTAGACAACAGGACATAGCGTTGATGTGTATATATGTTGACAAAAGGACATAGCGTTGATGTGTACATGTGTTGACAACAGGACAAAGCGTTGATGTGTATGTGTTGACAAAAGGATATAGCGTTGATGTGTATATGTGATGACAACAGGACAAAGCGTTGATGTGTATATGTGTTTGACAACAGGACATAGCGTTGATGTGTACATGTGTTGACAACAGGACATAGCGTTGATGTGTATATGTGTTGACAACAGGACATAACGTTGCTATTGTATAAATGACCTAACAGAGTGCTGCAATTGTGTGAACAACATGACCTACATTTGTTATTGTTTCAATAAACAACAGGACCTAGTTTTGCTACCATGTAAAAATACTGGAGCTGGTGTTGTAACTGACCCGACATAGTGTTTTGATTTTTTCTAATGTGTAACCATCTTTAATGAAGTAGATAACACATGTGGAGGCACTGTAGTCTAGTGGTAGGACGCCGGGCTCGTGACCGAAGGGTTGCGGGTTCGAGTCACGTCACGGCACTGTGTTGTATCCTTGATCAATATACTTTACTCCACTCGCCCCAGACTGCTCAACTGTCAATGAGTACGTGGTTGGGCAGCGCTAGAATTGTTGAATACTTACTGTGAGCGCCGTAATGCAGCACCTGCTATATGTTCGTGGTCACCGAAACTTCAAGTGCCTTCTGATATAGACCACGTAGAAATTTCTCAACTTCAATAACAAAGCGGAAAAAAAGGAAAAGAAAACCGTTACACATCATCAAAAGAAAATATTTTCTTTTCCTTTTCTCTGCAAGATAAGTTAAATTGTATATCGTAAAATGTATATTGAAGAATAGTGTTTCGTAGATTATATATGTGTTTAGAGTATTCTTTATGTGTTATCATTGTACCCAAATATAAAACAGATGATCGTCGGGTTAATAATACAATTTCATACATATCTTGTTTTACTTTTAGATGATTGTATCTGTACTTAATGACAATGTACAGTCACTCGACAAGACATGACTTTGATAATTAATAAAGAAGTCTCTTGGCAAGATCTGACTTTAATGTTTAGACATAATTCGGTAAGACCATACATTAATGTTTAATGAAGAGACTTGACCAGGCCTTGATTAAACAATGATTTAGACAGACCACAATTTAATAATCAATAAAGATTGTACTTACTATTAAATGAAGGGTGTCGACAAAATTTGACACAAATGTTACTGTAAGACACAGTTACACGACAAAAAAGAAACTTCATTGTCGAAAAAACAAAAAAGCAAATACTCACGAAGACGTGGATTTAATGTTAAAAATGACAAACAGTCACTCGGCAGGACAAAATTAAATCATTCGACAAGAACTTGTTATAATGTCAAAAGAAGACAAAGTCACTCGAAAAGACCTTATTGGTATAATTAAGGAAGAAATTAGTCAATTAATGAGCTCTTACATCAAAAGAAGACAGTCATTCACAGAATCCAACTTTCATGCTAATTGATGAACGAATTGAGACACCCATGTTCATACCATATGCCACAGTCAGCCTACAAGATCTGACGTTAACCTGAGGTACCCGCGATAGATACAAACGATACGGATATACAAATGTATACCTCTGATGTCAAGTTCATGCGTAAACAACAAACAGTACCTACTTTGCATAATTATCACTTCAAACTATTGGCAACGAATAAGAATGATTTTTGGATATTGAGACTGGCCATTGACGTCATTACAGGTGTATATAAGTAATGACATTTACCTCTTTTACATTTCAGGTAAATGACAGCTTCAACTCTCAGATCGAATATGGACTCTCTACTCTCAACTTTAGGCAAATGCACACTTGTGATTCTGTATATAACAGGCGGATGGTGGTGAGTAAAATTAATGTAATTTCTGTCTAAACATTATGAAACGCTGGCGACATTTTTTAATGGATCTTTTTTGATATATATATATCTACACATAGATTTGATTCTTTGGTCCTTTGTACATTTTTCCGTTTCGTTTTCTTATTTGGTTTTAGTTTCATTCACATGAGGCATATGTGTTGTATGCAACTGCATAACAGGCGACTTTGACATGTTAGGTAATTTTGTTCGAAATACATCATTTCAGAAAACGTTGTACTATTTCATATCAGTTTATATTAGTCGAGATATCTCGGCACAATATGGTATTTAGTTACGTACCAAATATATGTAAAAAAAATGTAAATATATAGATTCATATATAAACAGCTTTCTCTTTGATCTTTATGAATGATACCTAAAAATAAAATAACGAAGAACACACTTCAAGGGAGTTTTTTTTTATAAATAATGTCTTACAATTTCTCTCTTTTATGCACTTTTCGTTATTGGAATTTAGAAATATGCAACGCTTTAGAAATCAAATAAACATTATTATTATCTGTATTTAACAGGTTAACCTCGTCAAAGAAACATTATTATTATCTGTATTTAACAGGTTAACCTCGTCAAATAAACATTATTAGTATCTGTATTTAACAGGTTTACCCGTTATCTATTACTTTTTTCGATTAAAAACTCTCTTACACACGTTAATTAAGATTTTTGTTTGTTATTACATTTGAATATCAGACAATTAATTAATACCAGGCTGAGTATAGAGTAAATACCAATTCTAAAAAAAAAATGTTAAATATTCTAAATTGTCAGCAAATCTATACTAAATTGCTTTGTTTCCATATTAATTATTATAACACATTACGTTGCAGTTTCCAATCATAACGTTCTCATGATAGTGATTACCATTGTTTTCTGTTTTTTCCAGTTTGGCATAGAATTCAGTTGATCATTGTCACATTGACAATGCCACGAAGCATTGTTGTCTAGTGTGATGATATTATAATATAGCTCCAAAGATTATACTATTGGAACATCAATTTTTTAATATAATAACCTTTTTGTCGTTGTAGGTAGCTTAAAATATAATAAGAAAGACATTTAATTGTTTTCTTATTAAATACTCCGGTATATATTCCTCTTGTACGGCAGGTTTACTATTATCTTAACGAGACTCGTAAAAGTATGAAAATTGTACTTTACTCTTGAAGACATATGTGGCATTCAACGAGAACGTATCAAATATTTATAACGTAACGCTATCAAAATTGGTACAATTTTGACAGATTTTCAGCAATATTTAAAAACTCAGATTTTGTATCTGAAAAGTTTCTTGATTCTTGACAAAGACTATATATGGTGGTTCATTTTCAGAAAAAAACAGTTTTGATTCAAAGAGATTTTTCTGTAATCAGATTGCTTAACTCGCAGCGAGATTTCGTCCGTTTTTGACCATTATTACATGTAGTACCCAAATTAATACACCATGTCACAGGCTTTGAAATGTGTTTTTACTTCTGCTAGTTTATGTGCCAATCGCACCAGAATACATTTCTTTTATGAATATCATACTGAACCACAATTGTATGTATACGCTGTCATATTATCCGATTATAAAAACTAGGAATCAACATTCAAACATGCTTATAATAAACCTCTTTTAAATTGATGTTTTTGATGTGTTTGTAAGTTGAAGTCATCGTGTACCCTTAAAATGTTCAGGAAAACAAAACTACTCACTGAAAATACTGATAGATATATCTTTTGTTATACTAATTAAATTAGTTTTTTAATCATTTTTTTTCAATTTTAAAGTACTATTCGAGCCATGTTCTGACCGTGTACCAATATTGTTAGCGACCAAGTGTGGTAACGTGACGTCATACATTTTTATACATGTAAAACTGTGTATGTAGGATACGGTTTCGTAGGAGATGTTATCTTTGGTATCGACAACCGCTTTATTTATATCAACAGTGCATATACATGTAACAAGTGCAACGTGGCTGTGAAAAAGTGTTTAATTTCTTCACTTTAAATCCAGCATAGCGTATGTTAAATGATTAAATATTGACATTTTGACCCTTTTTAACATGCTATTAGATTACATATAAGATTTGGTCAGAAAAACAAATACGACAGCAGACTGAATTGGCGTTTTCCACACTTTACACGATAATATATATTATGCTTACTAAATGTCTATATTGTGTATTGCAGTGGCACACAAGATGTGTCTCATGATGATGGTAGCCTTACGCAAGAGGACAAGAGAGGCTTAGACAGCATTGCAAACAGCCTTGATTTAGCTAGCGGTTTGGAAGAAAAGCGCATGATGGATCCTCTAGCAAACGGACTTGTTGGAAAACGTTACATGGATTCATTAGCAAGTGGTCTTATCGGCAAACGGTTCTATGATGACTCAGCAAGTGACTTAATCGAGAAACGTTATATCGGTGGTATCGCAAACGGACTGATTGGGAAACGATACATGGGAAGCATAGCAAACGGACTGATCGGAAAACGATACATGGGAAGTATCGCGAATGGTTTAATCGGGAAACGATACATGGGAAGTATTGCGAACGGTTTAATCGGGAAACGATACATCGGTGGCATAGCAAACGGCCTGATCGGAAAACGATACATCGGGGGCATAGCAAACGGCCTGATCGGAAAGCGATACATGGGAAGTATCGCAAACGGTTTGATTGGGAAACGATTTATGAGCAGCATAGCAAATGGATTGATCGGTAAACGTTATGTTGATAATATTGCCAGTGATTTGATCGGAAAACGTGAAGACAATGGAGAAATGCATGAAGAGAAAAGATATATCGACTCGCTGGCGAATGGACTCATTGGAAAGCGATCAGATGACGAGGAGGGTTACGACAATGAGAGGTCTGTTGTCGACAAGCGTTACATTGACAACCTGGCAAGTGGCCTTATTGGAAAACGATCTAATTCTTACCGACACCACGATCTCCAAGCTTTGTTAGATAAACGGCCATTTGGACAACTCGCCAACGGACTGATTGGAAAAAGGAGCGGTGACGATTGAGGAGCATAGGAGTTTGGCAAACAGTAATGCGTACAAGTACGAACATTACTTATCAAACAATTGATCGGTGTTGGTGCATCCGGTGAAATCAAATTAAATTGTTGACTCTTACAATTTCGAGATTCATTTGTAAATTTTCCTTCATAATTTGGCCTATTCATTGTTTTTGATTATTAAAACAGGAAAAAATCATAGCGCAGAGTGCCCAGTTATGGAGACCGCAAAGTTTACGTTTGTAAATAAACGGATCTGAGCAAAAGTTAAAAGCAATGTGCTAAACGTTATTCACTGACACTATTAATTTTACATTTTTACATGGACAATAAGTTTATATGCGCTTATAAATTTCATTATCAAAAATTCATATTAAAATATTATTAACAATTTTTAAACATTTTTTTTCATGAAATCAAATGCTTGTTGGCTTTGGTTTTCCTTTCATCAAAATAGACAAAAATAAAATATTACAAATCAACAGGACATCATTAAGTGTAATAAGTGTGAAATTAAACAAACACTAAAAAGTCTGGAATGCATATTTCAAATGGTAATTAAAATGTTAGAAATTAACGGGATATAGTTGAGTTTTATAAGCATAGAATGAAACAAACAATAAAAGTATCAGTAATGTATTTTCATAAATGTTTTTATTCTTAAACACGAGATGACTATTGTATCTGTTGAATGATTGATTTAATAGCAGAAAGTTTAAATGCCAATGTCTTCGTTTCCTCTACAATGAAAACTTCAGTCCATCCCGACATCAATAAAAGACGTGACTACCTACCCAGTTTCGACTCCTATCATCTTTTTATAGCACATACACGTACTCTCAAATTCTGAGACATCGCTATGATCTAAAAGTATGATTATGATAATGAAAATAAATAGAACGGAATTTTTACCTAACTATTGCGGGAGTTTTGTATTTGTTTCATAAAAAATTAATGACAAGAAAATGTTTTGAAAAGGATACTTGCATTTATGTTGCACGTTACTTACAAGAACATCATATGTTTTTAAAATGTTTACAGAAAAGAATAGAAAAAAATGATAATTATGTAATTTTGCAGGGAGAGGACAAGGAGCAGTGGTAATTTAAATCAAATTGCACAATTTATCTTTTCCGGCTGTTCTTTTCTTATATTTGGTGCCAATCTAATTAAAAGAGATGCAAAAGAAATTATTTTCTCTGGGTATGGAAATAAAATATTTCGAACATATTTGTTGTGCCGCTTTTCTTAAATATTGTTCAAAGACACAGCCAGCAGTGATAACAATCGCTACCAAAAACAATGATGTCATCAAACATGGCGGTATGCGCTTAAAAACAAAGCCCCGATCTTGGACCGCACCGAAACTGAACCTCCGACGAAACAAATATATAACTATATAAAAAACAATAAGCATAAATCGTTTCAATCAAGTAGGAGAACAGAAAAAGGAATTGGAGACCAATTCTGCTTTTGTAATATTTTCAAAAGTATTATGTTCGGACTACTTAACCCCGATGAATTACTGTTAAATAAACGTGAGTGTATGTAAAATAATTTGTACAAGTGAATATTATTTTTTTGTTTTTTGTGTTTTTGTTGTTGTTAACATTAATTTGATGTATTTTATTGCAATACTTTTTCATCTTGGTTCAGAGGGCTCTACCATGTAACGCGGTGGCACTGTTTCTCCCATACGATATGTTTTTATCTAAACATATTTTCTTGTCTTAAAATAGCAACGGGATTGGGCATCACAAGTTATGCAACTTATACAAAGCCCTTTCATTTTCTGTTTCCCATCAGAGCCCAACAGGATAGCTAAGGAGAAGGTGTTTTAAAGCTGTTACTTTCTTACACGAAGCTCTAATTATTCCAAATCATGCAAAGACATTTGATCGACTGTTTTATAGTTTTGTTATGGGAGTGCTTTACTTATTTATACTAATTATTGGGCTGCTGACAAATTTAGACAAATTGTATGGCTGTTGACAAATTAAGACTATTAATTGGACTGCTGACAAATTTAGACTAATTATTGGGCTGTTGACAAGTTTAGACTAATTATTGGACTGTGAACAAAGTAAGACTATTAACTGGATGCTGACAAATTAAAACTAATTATTGGACTGTTGACAAATTTAGACTTATTGTTGGACTGTAAACAAATTTAGACTAATCATTGGACTATTGTCTTATTTAGACTAATTATTGGGCCGTTGACAAATTAAAACTAACTATTAGACTCCTGACTAATTCAGATTAATTATTGGGTTGTTGACAAACTAAGACAAATTATTATATTGTTTGCAAATTAAGACTAATTACTATATTGTTTGCAAATTTAGACTAATTATTGAACTGTTGACAAACTTAGACTAATCATTGGACTGTTGACAAATGTTCACATATTTAGACTAGTTTTTGGACTGTTGACAAATTTAGACTAATTATTAGACTGTTTGCAAATTAAGACTAATTATTGGACTGCTGACAAATTAAGATTAATTTACTGTTAGTAAATTTGCTGTTTTTGCAATTATTTCACGTGGTATTTTACCTTGCTAAATATAACATGTGTTACTCTTTCTTTCCATATACTATATATACTATTGTATATTGCTAAACATTACATACAATATTGCACATAAGTTTATATTATATAAAGTATAGTAGTTTGGTATTTGTAATGTTGTAACTTACTACACATCGGATGTAGTGTTTTACCTTGCACAATGTAAAAATATGTATCTCTCGTTATCTCTAATGAAGCCTTATCACGTTTTCTAATGAATTCTCTTTTATAAATCTTCCAAGTGACACTTAGATGATCTATTTTTGATATCGACAGTAAAACGAAATATGCCTGGTTTACAGTTCCCATACCTATGAATACGCTGTAACATCAACAGTACAGACAGTGTCCTATTCAATTTGTTAATGTTTTCTTTTGTGAGAGGAGCTTCAGAGAGAAAGTATAAGCATCATCGATATTATATCATTTTGAGGTCAGTGAATATAATAAACAACGGCAACTGTACCTGCGTTTATAAACTTATGTTTCTAGTATTGGTATTGGCTACTGTGAACACAGACATTGCAATGAATGTAACGCATTTGTCCTAGGAATCTTTAGGAGATAGTTTGACGGTTACAAGAGTCACACCCGTTGCACATAGCTCGCAAAAGCAGAATGTTGTTTTGAACCCAAGCAAATTAACGGTCTTCATTGACATTTGGTATCCCAATAAATAGATTAACAAAAATATACATCTTTTTGGTGTATGGTACGCAACCGTATATGATAACCATCATACACTAATACGCAATCCAACATAACATTGCATCTTTCCAATATAAAAGGGCCCAGCTGTTCAAATTGTGGTTAGCATAATCACAGTTTAACGACATCTTTCAACCTATAATAAATTTGTTAATATCCCAGGAAAATTCTCACACTTTTGCATGGTCATTCACCAAACTGAATATTTAATAGCTAGAAAGTTGTAACTAAATCAATGGCAGTGTATTAAAGATACACAATATTAAGATTTGCGCTAATCACTGATTAAGATAATCACCTTTTGAACAACTGGGTCCAGAAGTTAGTTGTTAAGAGATGGCGTATACCGATTTACAGCCTCAAAGTTTTCTGCCATGATATTTCATTTTTGATATAATTTGGTAATTCTTATTCGGAACTTTAGTCCTTCAGTTGGACAATCTTTGTATAATTTGTAAACTAATTAAAAATAAAATTATTAAAATCAATTTCATCGGTGGCCGAGTGGTTAAGATGTCTAACATTAATGATCACTAGCCCTCCATAACTGGGTCGTGGGTTCGAGGCCTACGCTGTGAAGTTACGATGAACTGGCCGCATGTCGGTGATTTTTCTCGGGTAGTCCGGTTTCCCCCGACTGCTAAAACCAGACACGTCCTTAAATGACCATAGCTGTTTATAGCACAATAAACCAAACCACACAACAATTCAGATTTTTAATATTCTACATCATGCGATTAAATGCAATGCAACGTTGTACATGCGCATAATTAACTTTGAAAAGCAGAAAAATGTTCTGTGTTTTAGAAGAGTCTACATATAAAGCCATGATTATCATTATCTAGTTATGCAATCAACGGTTAGTCAATGGTGTCATTCATTTCAACGTTTCAAATATAAGTGGAATATATATACCCTTTGAGATTCTTAACTTTTGTGATTTACAACTGTATCTAAAAGTAAAAATAAGGCAACTCGGAAGTACTTTAGTAATAGTAAAAGATCAAAAATGACAATTGAGCATTGAAAAAAACTTAAGGTTCAACAAGCCCCCTAAAAGATGACGCAGTCAACTAAAATTCCAATCCCCTGGTAAGTCATGTTCATGTACAAATCTAACTCACATATGTTATTTGTATATATTGAACTTGTACATTGGCCATACAAAAAATACATAGTCAGGTTAACGTAGTCAAAAGAGGCATTAAGGCTGATGTCTTTATAAAAATAGTTCACCGGACTTATGACATGTCAATCTCTTTTGCAACCCTACTGAGTGCTGGGAAATGACCCATAATCTAAAGTGTATTTATATACCTAGGCCATGCGGAGCTTTATTTCTCTTCTACTAACTGTTGAGAGGAATTCCGACCACAAATAAAGATAGATGTTGCCATGCGAAACCACTAAAATCATAATAAAATCTCCTGGTAATACATTTTAGCAAATTTTAAATAAGAAAACAATGGCTAAGTAACCTTGATCGATAAATGAACTTGAGATGATGTGCCATTTGATAACATTATGTGATTATATGAATGCGCTAGACATGTTATAAACATTGAAGCTGAAAAGTACAATGATGTTTACAACAAGTCTAGCTCTTTTATTACAATATTGAATGTTAAGGAAGGACATTTTATATGAAGTTTAAGTAGTATTTATGGTCAAATGTCTATGGTTATACACATATATACCGTTAAAATATGTTACTCTGACGTTTTACTATGATTTTTGTACATTCCCATAGCAACAATCATCTACTTGTGAGGCCGGTATGCCTCTCCACACATAGTTAAAGAGAAATAAAGCCCCGCTTGACCTAGGTATATAAATGATCTTCAAATAACATGTAATTTCGAAACATTCAGTTGGGTCACTTAGGAGATTGACATGTTATAAATCTGGTGAGCAACTTTTATCATTACATCAGCCTTAATGCCGTATTTTTGACTTCGTTGACCTGGTTATATACCTTTTTAATAGCTCATGTACAAGTCCAATGTATTTTAATTACATATATATATTCCCATTTGTGATAAGAATATTTGAATATGACTTGCCAAGGGGTTGAAAT